AGGAGAAAAATAATGTGTATGTGTGCACATTTTGCTGCTTGGGGGGAAAGACATCTCTCTCTCTCTCTCTCACACACACACACACTCACACACACACACTCACACACACACACACACACACACACCCTACCTACCTACCAGAATAAGGGAATGGTAAACTATTTCTGAGTCATTTGCAAACACACAACTGACTTGACCACCTTCAAATATTACTACTACCTATTTATGCACATGAACACAGTGAAAGGGGGGTATTTAGCAAATGGCCTGGGTATTTTTCTTGTGATCAACTGAACACCTTTTTTTTGTTTGCTTCCAGTGGATAATGCCCCCCATTTTATCATCAACCTGCCGAGGCAGCAGAAAAACGTCTGCTTCAATATCGATTCCGAACCCGGTGCGATCCTGAACTTAATTTCAGATGCTGAGTCTGGTAAGGGAAAAATAAATACAAATAAAAGGCAGCAACAAAACTCTTTATTTAAAATGCCCTCCCGGGTTCAACCTGGACGACCGTCCGTTTGCCTCCTGAGCAGAAGGGTGTCAGATCTCGGAGAAGAATATGCGAAGCATCAAAAGAGGAGAGAGTTAAGGGGCCTTGTTACCTGTCAGGTCATCTCTCCCAAAGATCATGCCCCTTGGTCCTCCCAGGCTTTGCGATGGTCCGTGGAGAGGCGCTGAGAGAGGCAAGGGAGGCTTCGGTGATGGCCCCCTCACTTTGGAAAAGTCTCCCATCAGAGAGATGCCAGGCTTCTTCCCGCTAGTCTCTCAAGAAATTATTGTGGTTTGAAGAAGCTTTTACGGTCATTTCCCCCCTCAGGCAGCCGTTTGGGCCCCATGCTTTTCTATTTTTCACAGAGGAGGGGTCACCTTTTCTTATACAGTTATTCAGGTCCCTGAATGTCATTTGTTCCTTCCACCTTTTATTTGGGGAGGGGGGGGGATGGTTTGTGTGGGTTTGGTTTTTCATTTTTGTCTCTATTTTGTGTGCACGATTGAGCAGAGCAGCAGATTTTTGCTAAGTGGGGCAGCATAAAATTAATAAATAAAGAGTGAGTGAGTGAGAGAAATACTATAATTTGGATACCTCCGTGGTTGAACGGCCTCTCTCGTGCACCCTGAGAGTTTGCTTGCTTCCTTGTTGTTTCAGGTTGTGTCTAGTGATGGAAACTAAAGGAAGGTGCCTTTATTTCCCTCCCCCCCCATTGCAGACCCCGGACCCCTCCCCCAAAGCCTTTGAAAATGTTCTATGTCTTCCTTTTTTTTGTAGGAATCGCTGTTAACGGGCAGCTTATCGGGGCCAAGAAACCCCTGAATAATAAACTGAGAACTTACTTTGGCAAGATTGGGTTCCTCTTCGAAAAGAAAGGCTTAAAGGTGGAAGTCAGCACTGAAGCCATCACCTTGAAGGATGGGTCTTCCAGGACTTCCTTTGCCTGGTCGGATACGGGGAGGCTCATTCGGAGGAGGTAAATGGGAGACTCCGTCAGGATTGGGTTCTCAACAAGCTCCGGATGGAGAAATACCATTAAAGCAGTTTCGGCTGGGATTCAGCCAGACCGGTTTCCTCGTGCAACCATCAGGCCTTGCACTTTTTCAAAAAATGTGCAAGGAAGCATCCGATCCCTTCCCGGTGGAAGTGGTTCTCTGCTTCTCTCCCATTTGGACACAGCTGTGCCTTCCGCGTGGATCAGGATTTGAGAGAGCATCGGGAGCATCCAACCAGCTCTGTAGGTGGTAGAAGAGCCCACCAGGCAGAGAGAGAGGGAGAGAGGCTTAAGGTAGATCAGGCCGCTTTGGCAAGCAGAGATTCAAACCCAAGCTTGCCCGGTCTACACTTCATGCCACTCGCCCAGTCCTGCCCAACGTGCGCCCTCAAGAAACCAAGTGCTGTGAGGAAAGACTGAAAGAACTGGGCATGTATAGTCTTGAGAAAAAGAGATAGGAAAGCACTCCTCAAAGACTTGAAAGGTAGTCCTACAGAGGAGAGGCAGGATCTGTTCTCAACCATCCCACCATGCAGGACACATAATAATGGGCTCAAGTTGCAGGAGGCCAGATTTCCGCTGAATCTTGGGAGGCGGTGAGCGCTCCAATGGTGGAGGCATTCAAGAAAAAATTGGACAACCATCTGCTTGGAGTTGGATTCCTGCATTGAGCCGGTGGTTGGACTCGATGGCCTTCTAAGCCCCTTCC